ATGGTTGTCAAGTTTTGATTTATAAATTAAACTTATCTTTATAAAATATTGCTTTTATGCATTTTATCTTTTTTTTAAACATTTATTTATTATGTGTGTGTGTGTGTGTGTGTGTGTGTGTGGCCAGCTCAGCCCACCAGGGGGCAAGGCTGGCTGGCATGTGGTGCTGGGGGATTGAACCTCGGTCCCTGTGCATTGCCAAGCTTGTTCCAAGTAGGTGCTTTAGACCACTGAGCCATCTCGCCAGCCCAACATTTTATCTGTCACAATTTGGGGTAGATTTTGTTTGAGGAAGGAAAAAAAAGAAAAAGAAAAGAAAAGAAAAGAAAGGGTTTAAAAAAAAAAAAGAAAGGTTTTTTTTTTTTTTTTCTTTCTATATTTAGTACAGGGTCTACAGGGTCTCACTACACAGATTGGACTTGTAGTGATCCTCCTGTTTTTAGCCTCCCAAGCACTGGTATTACTGGCTCGCACCACCATGCCCAGTCTCAGTCACCCTCTCAGTGGGCCCCGGGGTAGGACCTGCAAGGCACGCTGGGGATCAAACCCTGGCCACTGTGCTCTGCCTAAGCAGGCACTTTAGACTGCTAAGCTATCAGGCTGGATTTTTTTTTTTTTTTTTTTGCTTTTTGAGGGTCTCACTATGCAGTTTAGGCTGACCTTGAATTCACTTTGTAGCTTGCAATGCTCCTCCTGGCTCAGCCTCCTGAGCAACTAGACCTGCCTGAGCAGAAAGTTGTTTTTTTTTGTTGTTGTTGTTTTTTTCTTTGCAGAACTGGGGCTTAAACTCAGGCCCTTGCACTTGCCAGGCAGGCGATTATTCTACTAAGTTATCTCCCTGGCCCCTAGAAAGTTTTAAAAAATATTAAACACTTGATGAATTTGCTTGTCATCCTAGCACAGGGGATAGGCTAATCTCTATATGGCTCCAATTTTAGTGAGCAGAAGTAAGTTACTGAAGTGAGCAGAGACTTATTTATTTTTAATATATTTGGTACAGGGTCTCACTGTGCAGCTTGGACTCTTAGTGATCTTCCTGCTTTCAGCCTCCCCAGTGGCTGGGATTACAGGCATGTACCAATATACCCCGTTCTCGGAGGCCAGCGCAGCATCTCCAGGGGTGGGGCCTGCATGACATGTGTTGTAGGGGATTGAGCCAGGGTCCTTGCACTTGCCTAAGCAGGTGCTTACTTTGTTGAGCTATCTTGCCAGCCCATGAGCACAGACTTTTTTTTTTTTTTTTTTAAACAGTGTCACACTATGCTGCTCAAGCTGACCTCAAACTCATAGACAGGCTTCAGCGATCCTCTCCCAGGCCTCCCAAGTAACTGCACCTAGAAGCTAACACTTGGGAAACCATTTTCCACACTGCATTCAGCAAAGAGAATGACAGTGGGATCACTGATTATCTGTGATTAGTCTTTCTGGAAGCCTGGAGTGCAGAGGGGCGGCTCAGGAGAAGCTCTTGAAGGAATGAAGGGAAACAACCTGGCTTAAGGTCGAGGAGATGGCTCAGTAGAATAAGCGCTTCCCTGGAAAGCACAAGGGCCTGAGTTCAATCCCCGGTTCCGCAAAAAAAAAAAAAAAAAATCAAAGCTGACAACCTGGTCTCCCGGGTGGCAACAGTAGCCTCCACTCCTTTCCCTTGTCTTCTGCCACCTTCTCCTCTCCTCTCCCTTGGCTTCCTAGAAGCTGGAGCTTGGAGTTGGGAGCCCCTAGGATTGTACCCCCACTGGGCCACACACTACTAATACTGCAGCAAATTATTTCATCCCTTATCCCCTGTGGTGGTGGGGAAAGTGGGGGGAATTAGGCTTGGACTGGATTCTAAGAGATACCAGGAGGATCAAAGAAGGCTTCAACAGGGAGGTTGTCTGAAATGTTAACGAGGTAGCCCCAGATGCCAGGAGCGATGGTTTAGGGGACATAGAAATGCTGGCCACCCACCCTTCACCACTATTTCAGTCCCTCTAAGTGGTCTAAGAAGGGAAAGAAGCCGCAGTGATCCACCCATAGGCTCTCTATCCCTCTCCAACCTTCCCTGTGAAAGGAACCACTGGCTGCCCAATCTGAAGTGTGAAGAGTCTGTGGGGGGAGGCCAGGCCTCTTTCTGTGAGAGGTAGGGGCCTGAGCTGGTACCTGTGAGGCAGGTCTTCCAAACTGTTTGGGTTGTTTGAGGGCAACACTGGTATGATTCTGGGCTTTTCTAAAACTGTGGGGCAAAGTTGGAAGGCCCTTAGGCTGCTCCCCCAAGCCTGGTTATTAGCTGGTTCCTCCCTGGGGACAGGATGGCAACTTCCTGCTGGGTCAGCTGACAGCCTGGCTCCAGGTTGGACTTTGGGCCCTGCCCACAGGGACTTCTGGGGAAATCAGCTCCCTGGGCTGCTCTGTACAGCCTGCAAAGAAAGGTAGCAGAGCTGAACAATCATTAATCCAGGAGGCAGGATGTGGCTGCAGCTGGGGCCTGGGTAGCCCTCCCCAGGACTGGTGTCCCAGAAGCATACCTGTCCTTAGGCCAAGGGACAAGAAAAAAAACTGGGCTACGGCTTTGTGGTGGTCCAACCTGGAGATGGGAGGTGGGGATGTCTGGGTGTTAGAATTAGGAGTAATGAAGGAAATATAATCCTGAAACTTTCCTTAGTGCCCTCCTTCCTTCTTCCAAATCTAGGGCACTAATTAGTGGGTTGACCCCTGGAGATTGTGGTTTGAGGGGAGCCTTCCCTGAAATTGTGACACTGGCAGGGCCAGCCTTGTAGGTCTGGGCACTCCACAGTCACTCGTGGCCCAGTACTCAGAAAGGCCCCAGACTTACTTGAATGCTTTGCTATTGCTCTCTTGAAATTATTTTTATTTTATTATTTGTTTATTTTGGTACTGGGAATAGAATCCAGAGCCTTTGCCCTACCTACACCCCCAGCCCTTTTTCAAACGTTGAGTTAAGTTCTCACTGATTTAAGTACAGTAGTTTGCTCAGGCTGGGTTGAAACTTGATTTTTTTTTCTTTTAAGTTTTTTTTTTGTTTGGTTTTGTTTTTTGGTATCAGGAATCAAACTGAGGGCCTTGTGCTTGCCAGGCAGGCACTGTGCCGCTAAACTATATCCCCTGCCCTTGTTTGTTTTTTTGAGATGGAGTCTCACTGTGTAGTTCAGTTTGGACTTGAACTCACTATGTAGTGCAAGCTGACCTAAAACTTGTGGTAATCTTTCTGAGCACTGGGATTACAGGCGTGCACCGCCACGTCCAGTCAGGTTTGAGCTTGTGATTTTTTGCCTCGGATCCTGGAGTGTTGAAAATCTCAGTAATTTTTTTTTTTCCTAGTAAATTTTAGGGATAGAAGTAAGATCGTTGCTAATTTTAGCAAGTGCTGTATCACTTTAGTTAAAACTCCAGGCCCAAATTCATGAACATTAAGTTTTTGAACAAAAAACCCTGCAAATTTAATTGCCAGTCCTGCTCACTGGGGAGAATTGCTGAAAGAGTTGATGTAGGGCAAGATTAACCTACATTTTTCTCCTGACCACTCTCCTAAAGCAGAATCTTTGCATCCTCCTCCCTGTACTGTGCATGTACTTTATCCCATGGCTGAAGCCCTGAACATCACACTCTGCAAGGGTCCACGAGTAGGGCTAGAGTGGGTGCTCTGAGATTGCACGTTTGATCCGAATGGAAGGTATTATCAGGAAACTTGAGTGCTAGGGAAGGGTGAGCAAGCTGCCACAGGACCCCAGGAGCAGCCAGGACCTCCAGGGTCAGTGATGGCCCACACTGTTTTTTTGTTTTTGTTTTTAACTGAGGACCCTACACTTGCCAGAAAAGTGCTTATTCTACTGAGCTATCTCCTGGGCCCATGGCCCACATTCATGCTAGCTGAGCCCCTGGGGGCATTTAGAGACTAAGGCAGTAGAGGGAGGTCTCACTCTGCATTTTAATCACCCTCCTGAGTTACAAATACTTACACCAAGATTGATAGGGCTGCCTGCCCCAGACAAACAGAGACCAGGATCAGGGCCAAGCTGTCGGGGTACCTAGAGAAAAAGTACAAAGGTGCTGAATCCACAGTTGCTCCTTGGGGCAATTTCTAGTGCCTGGACAGAAAACTCCCAGATGCTGGCCTTGGCTCCTCTGTTGCTGACCCTCTCTGTGTTCTTTGGCAATCAAGGTCCCTTGCTGGTTTCAACCTCCCTTCTGTATTAAAAGGTAACACTTCCTGTGCTGCTCTCCTCATAGCCTGCTGTGGAATCAGAGGACATAAAAGGGCTTGGCCAGCTATTATAATAGAGCCAGAGGCCTGGAGGAAATGAGCACAGCATTTCCATGACTCTTAAAGGGTTTCTTTCCTACCAGCTGCCCCAGTCACGCTTCTCACCTGCTCCAGAACCCACCCTAATGCATCAAGAGGGAGCATCTCAGTGGGCAATCCTGACCCAGGAATGATGCCCTGGGAGTCAAAGCTTAGGCAAAGGGTAAACTGAGCGAAGACTGTTTCCCGTCCCGGACACCATGAGTGAAGCTGCAACCCACTGCGGGTCACAAGTCTCAAGTCTCCTCCCCCCAGTAGAGCCTGGGTCCTGGAAAGAGGTCTCCCAATTGTCTTATTCCAGGAAAAGAATCTCAGAACTCCCCAAATATAACCCCGGGATTTTGCTTCTCCTTCCATGAACCCTCCCATCCTCTTCCGCAGCGAACAGCCTTTGAGTTCCATGTGGACAGACCCTGGGCTCCGTGCCCGGTGGACGACCCCGCTTTCCCGGCCTGCGCGGAGCCCCTGGACCCCCTCCTCTCGGCCGGACCTCGCCCTCCTGGGCCCGCGGCGGCGGGGAGGGGCAGGAGGCAGCTCGGCTCCCGCCCCGCGGCCGCTCCCTGCTCCGCTGGGTCCCTCCCGGCTGCTCCGCGC